CCCCCCCCCCCAAAAAAAGCAGAGACTGAGAGAATGGCCAACCAATAGCTGGCCCAACTTGAAACCCATTTCATGGGCAACCATCAATCTCTTGACACAACTGATGATATTCTGTTATGCTTGCAGACAGAAGCCTAGGATAACTGTTCTCTGTGAGGCTCTCCTCTGCAGCTGCTGACTGAAACTGACAGCCAAACATTGGATGGAGGTAGGGAACTCTTATGGAAGATCTAGCAGAAGGATTGAAGGCCCTGAAGGGGATGGAAACCGCACAGGAAGACTGAGAGTATCAACTAATCTGGACCTCTGGAGTTCCCAGAAACTCAGCTACAAACCAAAGAATACATACAAGCTACAAACATGCAGTTCTGTCTCCATGTGAGTCCCCCCAAAACTGGACGGATATTTTCCCTAAAGCTGTAGCTTAACTATGGAATCCATTCCCTAACAGGCTGCCTTGTCTCGCCTCAGTGGGAGAGGATGCACCTAACCCTGCAGAAACTTGATACACCAGGGTGGAAGGATACACAGTGGGTCTTACTCAGAAGAAAAGGGAAGGGTGTGTGGGAAGGTTCTCTGCAAGGGAGAAACAGGAGGCAGGCAGTCTTAGGGATATAAATAAATAAATAATTATAAAAACAAAACAAAAAGCCAGAAGGGCCTTGCCAGATGTATTGCTATCTCTAAGAGACACCAGATGCCAGCCCAGACTACTATACTTAGCAAAACGTTTAATCACCATAGATGCAGAAAGCAAGCTATTCCACAACAAAACCAAATTTAAACAATATCTTTCCACAATCCCTGCTTTCACACGTTGACTTAACAGCACACCTGAAAGCTCTAGAAGAAAAAGAAGCAAACTCCAAGAGGAATAGAAGGCAGGAAATGGGGTAAACTCAAGGCGAAAATCAACCAATTATCAACAAAGAGAACAATACAAAGGACCAACAAAACTAAGAGCTGGTTATTTGAGGAAAAAACAACTAGTTAGGTAAACTCTGAAGCAAACTAACTAAAGAGCACAGAGACAGTATCCAAGTTAGCAAAACCAGAAATGAAAAGAGAGATACAACAACAGAAACTGAGGAAATTAAAAGAAGTCACCAAGTCATACTACAAAAGTCTATACTTGACGAAACTGTAAAATCTAGACAAAATGGAAGATTTTCTAGGCAGATAACACATCCAAAATTAAATCAGGATCAGGTAAGCTATCTGAACAATCCCATAAGCTTTAAGGAAATGGAAGCAGTCTCCCAGTCAAAAGAGCCCAGGGCCAGATGGTTTCAGTGCAGAATTCTACCAGACTTTCAAAGAAGAGCTAATACCAATACTTCTCAGCTATTCCACAAAATAGAAACAGGAGGAACACTGCCAAAATCATTCTAGGAGGCCACAGTCACCCTCTTGCCTAGATCACAAAACTACTCAATAAAAAAAAAAAAATTAGACTGAGTTTTCTTATGAACATTGATGCAAAAAATGCTCAGTGAAATACTAGCAAACTTAATCTAAGAAACACGACAAAAACATTACAATGATCAGGTAGGCGTCATCCAAGAGAGGTACCAGTGGTTCAATATACAAACATCCAACAATGTAATATACCATATAAATAAACTGAAGGAAAAAAAATATGATCATCTCATTAGATGCTAAAAAAGCCTTTGACAAGACTACCTCGTGTTAAAATCTTGGAGAGATCAAGGATAGAAGGCACATACCTAAACAAAATAAAGGCAATATGCAGCAAGGCCATAACCAATAACAAATTAAATTTAACTTTAGAGAAACTTAAAGTATTTCCACTAAAATCAAGGATAAGACAAAGCTGTCCCTACTCTCTGTATCACTTCAATATAATATTTGAAGTTCTAGCATGAGCAGTAAGGCAACTACAGGAATTCAAGGGGATAGAAATTGGAAAGTAAGAAGTCAAAGTATTGCTGTTTGCTAGTATGTTCTTGCAGAGGCCAGAATACAGTCTCAAGGAGTTGGTTTTCTTCTTCTCTCATGTGCATCCCTAGGTTGAACTCAGGTTATCAGACTTGGAAGTGCCTGCCCTAGTGGAGGCCTAAGAAACAACCACATGTGGTTCCTTCTTTCATATCAGCTTCCTTCCTCTTCAGTGTTTCGGTTTCTTTGCTAAAGGTTTTCCTCCATGGCTTGGATTCTCTCTCCCAGTTTAGTTCTCTTTAGAGACTATCTTGTCAAGGTCTTGGATACATTAATTAGTTCACATATTTGCTTAACTGACTATTCCACATGATCATCAATTCATTTTAAATAGTAAGGCTTTTTATATCTCCAGTTTTAGTACCAGGATGAATTTTCCTCTTCCTGATTTGTGGACACTGTGTGGAGAATTTCTGTTCTTTAAGAGTGAGCTAAAATTCAGTGGAAATCACCTGGAGCTGACCTTAAACCAGAGGTAATTTTCTTTGAAATAAATTTTGCACTCTTTGCTAGGTCTGAGTTTATTCATTTTGTTTATTCACTCTTCAGTGAGTTGCAAGAGTTCTAGAAAGTTATCTATAGATTTTTATAGTATTTATAATTGTCTTGTTTCTATAAGGTTGATAATCATTTGACTTATTAGTTTGAGTCTTTTTGTTTCTTTTATTTGACTAATCTAGCTAAAGTCTGCATAATTTTACTGGTATTTTCAAATAAAGAGCATTTGATTTCATTTATGTCTTTCTAACAACTACTTATTTTATTAATTTATGATATAATATTTTCTCTTTTCTTCATCTGTCAAAGAAGTACCATATTCTTCTAACTTAGAATACATGCTGTTGTTTTATTTGAAGTATTAGAAGAAATAATAAAATATATCTGTACCATTAAAATATGACTGAATATCAACCATTGCTACTGTTGTCTCAAATGAATAGCAGGTGTTAAACTCTCCTGGTTGAATTTTTTCAATATTTTGTATAAGATGGATCCAATAACAAAATTCATCTCTTATCTTGGTTCTTAGTGAAAAATCTTACCTAAAATATTTTTCTAAAAATTTAACACCTATATAAATTTGAGTAAATGTTTTCCTATATTTTTATTACTTAGAATATATTCATTTTCATTATTCTCTGAAATGTCAGCTATAAATATATTGATTAAGCTCTCTCATTTATATTCTATTTAAGTTGTTAAAATAGCATTCTCTGAACTGAGTAACTGATAATTCATAGGAATTTATTTATCAAATATTGCAATCTGGGGAAACCAAGATCAAACCAAACTTATTGTCTGATGCAGGCCCACTCTGTGTTTTTATGCATCAGGATCATTGATTTACATTTCCTTTGTGATGCTTCTGGTGTTCATGAGTGTGCCTGTGACGTCGAAGGCAAAATGCTAGACAATGGCAAATTGAAATGCCTGATAAAGATTTTTTTTTTTACGTTTGACACAATGAATTCACAAAGTGAATTTTAATTTGGGAAAGCTAGAGTATCTAGTATGAAATAAAGAAGATAAAGATAAAATGGGTAATGTAGTCAATGTCTTAAATAAATTAGAATTTGATCTCAATGAAAATACTACTAAAAAACCAGCCCATACTAGCAATTTAATACATGAAATATTGTAGGGTCAACCTATATCCCCATAAGTTGTCTTCTTGTGACTATGGAGGCATGCCTACCATTTTAGATGATTGAGTTGTAGGACGCTTGTAAAACTTATCATTCCTTTCCCTTTTTTCTAAAAATGGTAACTGTCTTAGTCAGAGTTTCTATTCCTGCAGAAATATCATGACCAAGAAGCAAGTTGGGGAGGAAAGGGTTTATTCAGCTTATACTTCCACATTGCTGTTCATCACCAATGGAAGTCAGGACAGGAACTCAAGCAGGGCAGGAAGCAGGAGCCGATGCAGAGTCCATGGAGGGATGTTACTTACTGACTTGCTTCCCCTGGCTTGCTCAGCTTGCTTTCTTATAGAATCCTGGACTACCAATCCAGGGATAGCACCACCCACAGTGGGCCCTTCCCACTTGATTACTAATTGAGAAAATGCCGTATACCTGGATCTCATGGAGGCATTTCCTCAAGGGTGGCTCCTTTCTTTGTGATAACTCCAACTGTGTCAAGTTGACACACAAAACCAGTCAGTGCAATAATTATCAGGAAAAAAATTCTCAGATATAATGCACAAGTAAAAACCATAGAGCTCCTTTTTTCATGCCAAAATGTAAATTTCTGAATAGTTTTCCACAAATAGTACACCAACATATGCATTCACTTGTAGTACTAAAGCAACATTTCAATAGATGGATATAGATAGACTGACAGCCACTCAGACAGCTTAACTGATGCATAAGTACTGAATAATTAAAATTACTGGAACACAAGAATGTCGTTTTATTTGATTAAGTGATCTGAGATTGTTGCTTCATCTAGGAGAGGTAGAAAATAAGCTATGCACATGTCTGTAGAAATGAGATAGCAACCATTGAGGCAAACTATTCATTAATTAATGTTTGTTATAGATGGAAAGTCACTGAATAATGTTCTGATACTTTCAAAGTGAAGGTGGTAATCGACAGTGGCCTGGATTAGGAGGTTTTACTTTGGGGAGTGATGAGGGTATAAGAGCAGAGCCCTTAGCATGGGATCTTTGCCTTTATTAAAGAGAAACACATACAGTCAAGTGAGGTCACAGTGAGAAAACTGCAAACCTCTGGCAAGGAACAAAATCCTTATCACGTAACTGTACCAAGTGGAGTAGGGGCTTCTTTTTTAAACCACTCACTCTGCAGTAATTTGTTCCAGTTGCACAAACTAGGAGAGGCATAGCCAATAGTGTGCTTGACATTTATCTAAACCTATTTCATCACATATAGAAATTCCATCAAATTCTTCATAGTGGTTTTCTGCCCAGACTGTTGGTGATAAAATATTTCATTGCATTTCTCCAAATGGAGGTTTTCAATTATGATTCCAGATATTCAAGGCCTTTCAGACCCTAAGACTAGGACAATTCTTTTTTTTTTTCCTTTTACCATGCCATTTATTATCATAGCACTCTGTGGGCTGCACCACCCCCACAACAGTTCCTGGGGTCCGTGTGGCCTTCCTTGGTTGGGAGGACACAGCTTTGCTGGGTAGTTCCTGTCTCTGCTCTTTGTGGGTGAGCTGGGGTGGGTTGGGGAGGGTAGGGGATAATTCCTCTCCCTAATGGCAGGTTTATACAGTCCACTTCAGACACCGGGTCTCCTGATGGGTGCCCAGGCAGCGCACTGTGCAGTACCGAGCACCGTAGCTTACACAGGTATACGGGGATGGGAAGCCACACACTGCACAGAAGGGACGCTGGGGCCGGGAAGGGGGCCCAGCACAGGCTGTCAAGTAGTTGGGGCCCTCGGATGCACTCAGGTTCTGTTCCTCCAGCAAAGCCTGGAAGTTTTTCCGGAAGCGAAGTTTAAAGTGGTCCCCTCGAGTTTTCTTCTTTTTCTTTCCTGTGTCTGCATCATCATCAAACTGAGGGAGCCTCTTGCCCAGCTGCGGGAGGCCGGCATGGAGGTCATCCTGGAAGTTGTCATTCTCTAATGCTTCCAGCTGGTGATTGATCCTCCGCTGCCTGGCGGCCCGGTCCAGCACCCGCCGGTGTCCAGGGTCCTGGGAGCGAACTTGTCTCGCCATCTGCATCTCGGGTTTTCAGTGGCCTCGGGTTATGCCAGGACAATTCTATAGACAGATGATAACATCTCAGAAAACATTTCTGTTTCTTTTTACTCATTTCAGGAAGCTTGTCCTAAGCAAAAATACCAGAAATACAAAATAGAACTGTGTAAGAGTGTAAACCTTGTCATTGCATAAATTAGAAATAATTAAGGATATTGACTAGTTGTAACAGTCAGATAATTATTGTAATATCGCTCAATTGGATTTTGTCTATAAAATCCAATTGGATTTTTTCAATAAAATTCTTTTTTATTAAAAGTAATATATTTTTCTAATTTTTAGAAGACTTTACTTATCTAAACCATTATGTTTAATTGTATTGAAATTTCTATTAGAAAAAGTTGGAGCATTTTAATCTTTCACACAGATTTTAACATATATGGGATAGATCAGAGGGAGGAAGTAGAAGGAAGACATTGTTGTAACTAAAATACAATTTCAAAGATAAACAAAAACAAAAATACATATGTGCTCAAATTGTTTCTTCAAAACATATATTACTGTACTTTTGATCTAATTCCACGCAGCAGGATCACTACAAAATTGTTTAATGCAAATTTATTTATTTAAGTCTTATTGGATAATTTATTTATTTACAATACAGATGTCATCCTCTTTCCCCATTTCCCCTCCCTCGAACCCCATATCTCATCCGCCCTCCTCCTCCTTTATGCTTTTGTACCATTTTGATTATATGCATGTATTAATGTCAGTTCTAGGTTGAAGGTCTAGCAATACAATAGATGCAAATATTCAAGGAACAAGCAATAAAATAAATACAAATAGTCAAAGAAAAAGCAAGGCAGTAAACAGAGTCCTGTGATCACTGTTTCTAAGGGCTTATCAGGATGAGTAAAGTATCTGAGCCTACTTCCCTATCCTATCCCAAGTTCATTTTCATATCTGAAGCCTACTTCCTTGTTCTAGCCTAATATTTAGGTTCCTGCCTGAAATTACTTCTTTGTTCTAGTCTAATGTCAGATTCCTGCCTGAAGCCTACTTCCTTGTCCTTGGCCAATGTCATATTCCTGCCAAGTAGCCCATTTCCTTGTCCTTGACCAATGTTTTAGTCCTGCTAGGCAGCCCCAAAATCTCTCCACATCTCCCCCTTTTTTATTTCTTAAACAAGACTGAGCCTGTCTTAGGTTGTTCTGACAAGAATGCATACATTACTCATCAAGGAATATGCATTATCAAAAGCCATGCACTTCTGTCTTAGGTTGGTAAGGCTCTGTATAGAATCTTATCTGTCCTTGGCTTGCCAGCCGTTAATTTAATAACTCTATCTGGGGGTCCATTTTCAGTTTCAAGCCATGTACTTTGGCTGCCAACATGTTGATGTTGTTGAAGAAAAGCTTTAACACAATGGACAGGAATAAAATTATTCCCAGGACATAAACAGTTAGTATGATCAAGCTATATATGCCATTTTTGAAGCTTGACCAAAATAGAAATATTGACCTTAGGCCATAGGTAATTTTATCTGTAGTATCTACCTCATCAATGCTGAGCAGGGCAGCATTCTTGAAATTCATAAGCTTCTTGTGTATCGTTAAAACATCCTGAGAGGTGTTAGAATTATGCCAAATACACTGCAGGTGTCATTAAACTTCTTCCTAATTATAATGACTACCCCTGTAAATTGTAGAACTAACATGAATCCAATGACATTTGGCATGACACTCAAGATGGCTCCTTAACCTTAAATTCTGAACCTCCTTCCAGAAATTTGAATAGGATGAAGAGCACCAATCCATTCTTCCAAATGCCTATCTAAATCCTCTGGTATATTCAACACATTAGTAACACTTTTTGCTAAATGATTAACAAAAGTATCTGTCTTAACTTCTTGTGTCACAGTAATTGCAGAAGCTGTGGTGCTAGCAATTAATGTAATTAAAGCTGTGATACCAGCAATAATCAAGCCAACTACTCTCTTGCTTCTGCATAAAACCTGTCTCACTTCTTCCAGTCCTTGCAAGCTATTTTTAGAATACCAAGGTTCTGTGATACTCAGGGCACTAAAACAAAAGCTGATTGATAGACTTCCATAACTGACATGCCGGATTTCAAAACACAAACACAATTAGAAGGTGGACAATCAATGCAACTTATTAACTACTGTAGAAGAAACAAAAGTATTTTTAACTTGACAATTAAAAGAGCCTTATCACATGTGCTAATACCTGTTGGAAATCTAGATCCTGCCCCAACTTTATCTTTTGCTAACATAACACCATAGAGAACTGCAATTAATTTCCATATATGTCTCTGAAAATGTCCAGAACTAGACTTCTAAATGAAGACTGTTATTTCCAATATTGGATTGATTTCTAGACCAGTCCATGATTGAGTCTGAATAACTAGTCATATTTGATAAAAATACATGAGGCATTAGAACTTCTCTTTTTGATTCTCTGTTCCACAAGTTCTAAGAACTTGAGGCAAGGCAGGCAGCTTGTCCCATCAGGGGTATAGGTAAGCAATGGTGGGTTGGAAACTTATGTCCAATACAGCTTCCCAGTCACCACTGTCAAGGCACTCAGCAAGCTCACAGGTCAGCATCATTCTTTGTCCTGGCATCAGCATGTCTCACCCATTGCTCTGGTGGCCACCATCCTCCTTCAGCATCCTGCAGAAAATCACAAACATATCCTCTTCCCCATATTTAACACTTGATTGAGATCATGCCTTGTGCCAGTAGGTGCACCCTTCACATTCCCCTCTGCATAAGTATGCCTAGATGTAGAGTCTCATAGACATTCGGCAGAAAGTTCCTTGGCATCCAAAATTAAAAAAAAGAAAACCAACCCCCTCAAAAACCACTTCAAAATGAAAAGTAAAAAGAATACAATATAAATAAATTTGTGGTATACAGGGGTATATCTCTCCCTATTTTAATTTATGAAGATATTGTTTTAAAATTCCATGGGCCCTTTCCACAGTCTCTTGTCCTTGACAGTTATAAGGAATCCCCATAATATGAGTAATGTTAAGTTGCTACTAAAGAGTTTCAAATGTTCGACTGCCATAGCCAGTTCCATTATTTGTTTGGTTGTTTGGTTGTTTTTCTTTTTCTTATTTTTTTTTATTATTGAGTACTTTATTTATCTACATTTCAGATGTTATTCCTTTTCCCCATTCCCTACCCATAGAAACTCCTTAACCCATTCTTCCTCCTCCTATTTCTATGAGGGTGTACCCCATTGACCCACCCACTCCCACCTCCCTTCCCTCTAATTTCCCCTCACTGGGCATCCAGCCTTCAAGGAACCAAGGCCCTCCTCTCCCACTGATGCCTGACAAGTCCATCGTCCTCTACAAATACAGCTAGAGACATGGGTCCCTCCACGTGTGTTCCCAGGCTAGCTGTTTAGATCCAGGGAGCTCTGGTTGGTTGGTATTGTCACTCTCCTCATGGGACCACAAGCCCCTACGACTTCTTCAGTCTTGTCTCTAACTCTTCCACTGGGAAGAGCTTGATGGTTAGCTGTGGCCATCCGCCTTTGTATACATCAGAGTCTGGCAGTGCCTCTCAGAAGACAGGTATATCAGGCTCCTGTCAGCATAATGCAAATTTTTAACCCACTTCAGAAATAGTCAAATATAAGGAATAAAAACATCAGCTTATGTTTCATACTGTAGTATCCAACATTGCTGTCTGTAATTTTTTGAATTTCCATCCAAACCTGAATCATTTTTGTCTGGAAAGCACTTTAATTTTTTAATAAAATTATTATTTATTCACTTTACATCCAGATTGCAGCCACCCCCGCCCCACCTCCCAGTCCAACCTTCACAAACTCCTGCCCCAACTGCCGTCAAATACATGATAAAAAGACCTACAGAGCCAATTATCCTGGGCCAATAGGGGCTCATAGCACTTTAATTTTAACAATAGTTTGAAACAACTGTTAATAATGGTATCTCCTCATTAAAATAACTGATTCATATTCTGTATTTTCATGTATCTGGCATACAGTAAAATAATTTTCTTTATGGTGATCATTATTTACCACTGAAAATCAGACCAATAGTTAACACTCTGTGCCTGTTTTTCTCATGTGTATATTAAATATTTTTCAATATTGTTTAATTCAACATATTTTGGTAACAAATACTTATTGAAAATATTTTCATCAATATTATTTTATGCACTAGTTTAGGAATTACATTATTCACACTCAAGAGACAAGAACATTTAGAGCATGAAACTTATTTAAGGACAACATTAAATTCTTTTTATTTTTCATCACAAAACATGCACACAGGATTTTCTTAAAAATATCCTATCAATATTTACTATACTTGAGAATATGTGTATCTAAAAAATATCAAGAAACTTTCAAAATAAATACAGTAAAATTTATTTTTTTTTTGCTTTTATTATTATTTTTTTACAGTCCAGTTGTTATCCCCTCCTGGTCTGCCTTCCCATAGTTCCTCATCTCATTCCTCCTTGCCCCTGTTTTCAAGAGAATGACTACCCCCCAACCCCCTGCCAGGCCATCCTACTCCCTGGAGCCTCAAGTCTCTCTCTCAAGGGTTAGCTGTATCTTCTGTCACTGAGGCCAGATCAGGCAGTCCTTTGCTCTGAGTATTGATATATGTTAACTCACTATATCCTGATGAAAATCCAGTAAACTTAAATGGTGTGTGTGTGTGTGTGTGTGTGTGTGTATCTGTGTGTCTATGTGTCTCTGTATGTGTCTCTGTGTGTATGTATGTGTCTGTGCCTGTGGGTGTGTTTGTGTCTGTCTGTGTGTGTGTGTGTGTGCACACACTCATGCACGCATGTGTGAAATCTGTGTGAGAGAAAGTGGATTTTCTAACGTGTTCCCTCAGCATGAATGTCCACATTCTATGTTTGAATATTCAGTCCTCTCTATCAGCTATCATACTGTCCTACTTATTCTTCTTTGAAATGACAGATTGGAGCAATTCACAGTAGACAGACACTAGAG